GTGTGGCCTAATATGCTCATGAGTTTCTGCTGTTGGGTGTGGCCTATAATGCTAATGAGTTCCTGCTGGGCTTGTTCTACAAAAAATGCCCTGAATAAAGTTGAGTGCAGAGAAGGCCAGGTTCAGATCTCTGCTCTGATCTGAGGCAAACCGGGTGACTTTGGCCCAGTCCCTCTCTCAACCTGCCTTACGGGCCCGCAAGGAGGGTAAAATGAAACAATTCAGTGGAAGTAGTTCAGTAAAGCAAATCTCCCTACCATAAAACCATCCCAATCCACATGTCAAAACAGCAGTCAATAAAACCAGCGGCACAGTACACTCACGGGCACACAAACAAACCCGAAAAGCATTAAGAAGTGGGGGAAACACGGCAAACTCAGTAAAGCAAGAATAGGGAATCAAATTTGAGTTAAACACCTGGGAGGACCGAAGTGCGTTAGTATCTAAAATTGCCCAAGTACTCTGTAGCAATAAATCTATTTCTGTCTATAGGATGCAGCGACAGTAGAAGGCAATTGGAGATCCAGAAACAACATCATAGTCCTTATAGTAACAATAAAGTAAAGGTAAAGGTTCCCTTGCTCGAAAGCCAGTCGAGTCCGACTCTAGGGTTGTGGTACTCATCTCCGTTTCAAAGCCGAAGAGCCAGCGCTGTCCAAAGACGTTATTTATCTACTCGCAATTTCTTGCTTTCGAACTGCTAGGTTGGCAGGAGCTGGAACTAGAGACGGGAGCTCACTCCATCATGCGGCACACTCTGGTCTCGAACTGCTGAACTACCGACCTTCCACAGCCTGCAGTTCAGCGTCTTAACCACTTGAGCTACCGCAGCTCCTATAGTAACAATACTGGAGATTAATTTCAATTGGTGTGCTAATTACAGTCAGCAGAAGCCCAATTGGGGTGACATTACCCAGTGTGTCTTCCTAGGTTCTTTTTTCCTGCAGTAGAAGAATATCTGCCTTTATCAGCTAAAGTAGACTAAGAGCACAAGGTGGTCACATCAGTCCATAGCCAGTCCCCAAAGCACCAGCTGTTTTGCCACACCTTTCCTTAAGACCAGCCAAAACATCACAACATACCTTTTCTCTTTGACTCCATTTATCCAGCACGTCACCTGCAAAATTAAAATGCTCAGGCACGTCCCTGGAGAGGGCTTCGAAGTCTGCGGAATCCAGAGATGCCACTCCGCTGGAGCTCTTGATTCTGTATGGCACTCCAGGGACACTAAAAGACCTGAGGACCGGCAGTCGGGCGAGAAGCTTCATTCTACCCATGGTGGCTTATTTCACCCTTCAGAGGAATACAGAACAAACAGGTCACTCCCAGTCCTTGGTTAGGTGGGAACCAGCATGGCGCTGGTGCCAGGGGATTTCAGTGGCTAATCATGATGCTTTCCAAAGGTAGAAATTCACACCCTAGAAGCTGGATGACCTTGGGTCAGTCACAGTTCTTTCAGAGCTGTTCTTTCAAGAGCAGTTCTCTCAGAGCTCTCTCAGCCCCACCTACCTCACAAGGTGTCTGTTGTGGGGAGGGGAAGGGAAGGAGATTGTAAGACTCCGAGTGAAGGGTGGAGTATAAATCCAACTTTTCTTCTTCCTTCAGCTTGTTAAGGGCCCTTGTTCAAAGGTAGAAATTCACACCCTAGAAGCTGGATGACCTTGGGTCAGTCACAGTTCTTTCAGAGCTGTTCTTTCACGAACAGTTCTCTCAGAGCTCTCTCAGCCCCACCTACCTCACAAGGTGTCTGTTGTGGGGAGGGGAAGGGAAGGAGATTGTAAGACTCCGAGTGAAGGGCGGAGTATAAATCCAACTCTTCTTCTCCCTTCAGCTTGTTAAGGGCCCCTGTTCATCATATGGGGAGGTCTAGCATGATTGAAAGACACCTGTCCATAAATATGCTCCAAAATATACATGTATATTTTCAGGTGACTGATATTTAATGAATGGTGTCCGTGACGAGTAATGGCTGCCCTCCTCCACTGGTGCTTGGACCCCTTTTGAAACTGGCTTTGTCTCATTTAGCCTCATAGCTAATTTAAGTCCCATTGCTTCCATGACTATCTTTAGCTGCATCAGAGTCCGTGTTTTAGGTTGAATTAGATTGTTTTATCTGTATAATTTCATTCCTATGTGGGGAAAAACAGTATATTATTATATAATGCTAATTTATTAATTAAAATATTTATATCCTTTCTTCTTGGTTCAAGGCGACCTGCAGTAGTAGTTATAACATTCCCAGCTAAAACCACAGATAAAATAGTAAAGGTAAAGGTTTCCCTTGCTCAAAAGCCAGTCGAATCTGACTCTAGGGATGTGGTGCTCATCTCCGTTTTCAAGCCGAAGAGCCAGCGCTGTCCAAAGACATTTCTACTTGTGATTTCTTGCCTTTGAACTGCTAGGTTAGCAGGAGCTGGGACCAGAGACGGGAGCTCACTTCATCACGCGGCACTCGGGTCTTGAACTGCTGAACTACCGGCCTTTCGGTCTGCAGCTCAGCGTCTTAACCACTTGAGCTATCGCAGCCCCCAAAGTAAAATAGCAAGCCCTAAATCCCATCAAGTGCCATTAAGTTGTAGCTGACTAATGGCGACCCCCCATGGCATTTTCAAGGCAAGAGATGAACAGAGGTGGTTTGCCGTAGCCTTCCTCTGGACTTTCTTGGTAGTTTCCCATCCAAGTACTAACCTGGGCTGACCCTGCATAGCTTCCAAGCTCTGATGAGCAGAGGCTGGTCTGGGCTCTTCAGGCTGCTATTATTATATAATCCCACCCCAAAATTAAGAGAAAATGTAATATTCTTAAATTAAAGCAAGCAAACGAACAAACAGTGTGGATATGTATATGTGCCGGTAACTTACCAGTTATTCAGGTCCTGCTTGCAGGATAGTAGAGAACCAAAAAGGAAAATCTCCAGAAAGTTACTTGGAGAAGTAGCCATCATTCAGTGCCTATAAGTAAATATTAACTTTTAATCTGTCATCTGAAAAATGCAAATTGTCTACCTTATCTCCAATTCTCCAATTCTGTGTTAACCTTTGACCACATGTACACCCACCCTTCCCCTGGTTTACCCATCTTTTCTCTAACTGCATTGGTTAAATGTTATATTAATTTATGTTAAAATTCCATTTACCTTTTCCATCCACAATTGTAATTTGTCAATGCTGCAGATCCTTGGAAATAACATGCATGAAATTCAACCTTGCATGCTATTCGCAGGCCTGTTTTCTCTCATTTGTTCTCAATCTGAAATGAGTGATGTGTTGAATGTATTTGCATCTGCAGTGTTTATCATCACATAAGCAATTGTCTGGTAGCTCCGGGTTTATTAGATGGGAATAGTGTTTGTTTGAGCCTTCCAGTTCAGTTTGGAAGGGTACAAAGAGTAAAATTCTTTTCAACCTCCACATGAAATCACACTATGGAAAGGTGGGCAGAGCAATTTACTGATAAGGGATACTGCCTTTAGTTGAAGATCCACCCCTGTGGCAAGCTACTCCCCTGTCCCTTTGGGAAAGTAAGGGCTTTTTTTTTGGTGGCTTGAGTAGAGGAAAGAAGTGGCCATAAGGGGCACGGGTGTCTGCATGCACATACTTGTACCTGTGCAACTTGCATTTAGCAGCTCAGTGGTGGAGCATCTGCTCTTCATGCAGAAGGTGCCAGGCTCAGTCCTTGACAGCTCCAGTTCAAAAGGACAAAGAGGCAGGTGCCGTGAAAGACTTATGAGACCCCAGAGAGTAGCTGCCAAACAGCATAGACAAGACCTTGCTAGACCAATAGTCTGACTCGGACGAAGACCAAGGGTGCCAGTCCCCAGGGAGTGATTGAAGATCTCCCAGAATCACCACTGGTCTCCAGAGGACAGCGATCCGTTCCCCTGGCGAAAACGGCTACTTTGGAAGGTGGGCTGTATATGGCATTCGACCCTGCTGAGATCCCTCCCCTCCCCAGGGTCCACCCCCTAAATATCCAGCAGTTTCCCAACCCAGATCTTAATGTGTCCTTTTTTTTTTTTTTAGTGTTCCAGCTGGGAAGCCTGCAAAGATGTGAGCAAAAGGGATGTTTTGTCCATCACTACCTGTAATATTGTAGCTTTGAGAGTAAGAGAATTTGGGGGGTGGGAGACCTCGTGATTCATGATGCTTTACTAGGAAGGAAGACCCTGTGTACGTGCTTACACCTCTCCTGTGTGATACAGCAGACTGCACAATATATCTGAAGAGAAACAGTTCTGGAACTTGGACTTCCGTGTGTCATGCTGTCCGAATGAGCAGATGGGAGTTTGTCCACCCCCCCACCCCCAGGCAGGATTCTAAACCTCAGTATAGTCCTGGTTGGTGGAGGGTGAAGATACACAATGCCTACACTTGTATGTTATGGCAAACCAGGGTTAGATCAAAAGCCTCCTAAAATTGGGAATCTTTCAATCATGTGCTGCACATGAAGGGAAGAAGGAGACGCCAGGGAGCATGAGAATGGGAACAAGCTGCCTATCGTGGACAGAGTTGGAATGAGGCCTATGTGTCATACTGTCTGGTTTATGGTACTCCTAAAAGGTAAAGGTTCCCTTGCTCGAAAGCCGGTCGAATCCGACTCTAGGGTTGCGGTGCTCATCTCCGTTTCAAAGCCGAAGAGCCAGCGCTGTCCGAAGACGTTTCCGTGGTCATGTGGCCGGCGTGACTAAACACCAAGGCGCACGGAACGCTGTTACTCCTAGGTACCCCTAGGGAGAGGTTTATAGAACATTTGTTAAGCCAGTGTGACATGCTGATGAGTGCTCCGGTTCCAGTATTCATTGTTTTTTATATGTAGCATTTCATGATTTTTGTTGACTTAGAATCATAGAGTCACAGAGTTGGAAGAGGCCATACAGGCCCCATGCATGATTCTATACTTTTGCTTTCCGTTGTGCTTGGTTACTGATTTTTAATAAATAAACCGGCGAACGTTCCAGATGAGAGCCTTTTACAAGTTAATCACTCCTTCTTGAGACTCTGGGTCTCAGCGTCCTTCCTTTTATGGGCCCTTGGAATCTTCCCTGCGGCGCTATTAATATTTGGAACAACTCTTGTGTCTACCAAAGTCCAGAACAGATGAGTTAGTTATTTGCCTGTTCTCAAAATCGTGGTTTCCAGAAATCCAGAAGTCCGTTGAAAGAGATACAGCTGGAAATGACACCTGTCAAACATTTACCATGTGGAGAAAGTTGTCAGGGGCTACTTCCGCACACGCACACCGAGCAAGAAGCCTTAGCATTGAAAGGGGACATTCGCGGCCTTGAGCCGGTTCTCTGGCAAGGTGGGATACAAACTGAAAATAAATAAATAATAAATTCGTACAATGCCTTGCTGATCCAGAGCTAGGGTTGCCAACTCCTAATTTCTTACCGGCAGGGGACCGTCCGTTTGGTCCGGGAGCTGCTGGCGTGGCTCCGCCCCCAGCGTGCGACATTCGCGGCCTTGAGCCGGTTCTCTGGCAAGGTGGGATACAAACTGAAAATAAATAAATAATAAATTCGTACAATGCCTTGCTGATCCAGAGCATGACTCAAGGGGGCTTGCTCTGACTCAAAGGGGGAACTGCAGGGTGACTGCAGGTGGAGCATCCTTTGGAACACTCCACCCACAAGCACTATGGGGAGAGTGGTGGCAGGGCTGGCCCAAGGATTTTGGGGGCCCTAGGTTAAGAAGAAGAAGAAGAGATTGGATTTATACCCCGACCTTCACTTGGAGTCTCAGAGCGGCTTACAAACTCCTTTCCCTTCCCCTCCCCACAACAGACACCCTGTGAGGTGGGTGGGGCTGAGAGAACTCTGACACAAACTGCTCTTTTTCAAGGACAGCTGTGCCAGAGCTTGTGACTGACCCAAGGCCACATCAGCAGGTGCAAGTGGAGGAGTGGGGAATCAAACCCAGTTCTCCCAGATTAGAGTCCGTACACTTAACCACTACACCAAACTGGTTAAGGTGCCTAGGCCCTCCCCCCCATTCCAGGGAAGAGGGGAGATGGCACCCACACTCTTTGCTGGGCCTCAGGTAGGGGGTGAAGATTGAGCCTGCTCACCTTCCCCCTCCCCGTGCCATGGGGGGTGGGAAGATGGTGTCCAAACTCTGCATTGCCCCCTCCCCCATGCTGTGGAAAGAAGCAGCAGCAAGTCTTACAGTGCAATCCTGTACAGACTTAAGCTGAAGAACTCTGCACAGGATTGCACGGTCAGTCTTCCTTTGGTTGATTCTCAGTACAGCCCTGTGAGGTAGATCATTTGCACTTGGGAAATTGTGGCTGAGGGGGATGCGGATGTGAATTGACCAAGGAAAATTTCACATTTATGTAGCAGTCAACAGATTTCTGACAAGGACGAAACAGTCAGCCAGGGAGTGTTCAAACTCAGGAAGGAGCCAATATTCCCTGGTTCAGTTCTTCTTGGGTTCATTTATATTTTTCCAGTTGAGTTCTTGGTTTTTTCACTGTTGGCTTTGTTTTGCTCATACTGTGTTTGTCTTCTCCAAGGAGCTCAGAGTAGCATATATGCTTCTCCCTGCCTCCATTTCTTCCTTATGACAACCCTGAGAGGTAGGCCAGGGTGAGAGAGAATCACCAGGCCCTGGTCACCCATGAAGCTTTGTGACTGAGTGGGGATTTGAACCTGGGTCTCGCTAGTTGTAGTCCAGCACCCTCACCACTACACTGCACTAGTTCTGTATGTATGTATGTTGGATGGTTTTATATCCAGTTTATATGGTAAAGGTAAAGGTAAAGGTTCCCTTGCTCGAAAGCCAGTCGAGTCCGATTCTAGGGTTGCGGTGCTCATCTCCGTTTCAAAGCCGAAGAGCCAGCGCTGTCCGAAGACGTTTCCGTGGTCATGTAGTCGGCATGACTAAACACCAAGGCGCACGGAACGCTGTTACCTTCCCACCGAAGTGGTCCCTATTTATCTACTTGCAATTTCTTGCTTTTGAACTGCTAGGTTGGCAGGAGCTGGGACCAGAGACGGGAGCTCACTCCGTCACGAGGCACACTCAGGTCTCGAACTGCTGAACTACCGACCTTCCACAGCCTGCAGTTCAGCGTCTTAACCACTTGAGCCACCGCAGCTCCATAATACAATTTATATAGTACATAATTTATATGTCCACTATACATATGTCATTCTGATTTATTGTCACATGTTTAATGTTGGGAAAAACATACGTTTTACAAGGCACAAGGAAACAGGTGAACATAAAGACTCACAACTGCAATTTGCACAAGGAAGACGTTAGATCACAAGGGGGCTACAAGTCGCAGAGGCGAGAAGCTCAGAACCATCCCTGCTTCTCAGTATTGCCAGCAAGAACATTGTGAAAGCTGACTGGTTCAGGTCCCACCGGATCTGTTCGGTTCACGGTGGTGGGGCTGTCCTTTGCCTCCAGGAGCCCTCCCTCCTTGGTGCTCAAGGCCTTCTGCATCAGGAGGAGGGGGCACCTTTGGGCTGGAGGACAGTGAAGCCAACAGCAGAACAGACCCACAGATCCCAACCTATTTATTTCAGATCCTCCCTCAGCGAGGCAACTGCTCAGATCTCTCCCTCTTTATTCCTAATCCTAATTTATAACCCCCTTGACTTTTAGCCTGGAGGCCCAGAGTCCAGCAGAGAAAGAGACAGGTAATCCCAGTATCAACATGGCTTGAATAATTTCCTTGGTTCTATAGGTCCGCCAAAACATCAAACATCTCCCCATTCTTTCTTCCTTAACTCATTCCTTCTGATTTTCCCTGTGATCGTCTTTGGCAATTCTCGGACAAATTCCACCTAGGGACACAAAGGAGCAAGAAATGTTGATTTTTCATCACATAGGGGAAAAAAAAACATGGTTCATTACGGTTGAGCAAAGCGTGATTCATGATGCCTGCCCAGAGTGTTTGCAGTTTCACTTGAAGTGATCGAATCCCGAGAGAGCAGAGCGGTAGAGCCGCTTTGAGTACTGCTGATCGGGAGGAGAGCAGGTTATAAATATTTTAAACTGAGAGGGTGGACGGAACTAGCTTCTGGTGTGTGTGTGGAGCAGGGGTGCCAGTCAGTGCTTTCTTCCATAATTTAAAAAAAAAAAATAACGGATGTCCCCTTAGGGCGCAAGATCAAGCTAATGCTGCGGCAAACCTGGGCATCGTTGAAATGCTGCAAGATTCATTTTGGGGCAAGACTCAAGTGCAGTAGCACCTTTAAGGCCAAGAAGGTTTCCTGCTTTAGAAAGCCAAAGCCCCCTTTATCAGATACCCCCTGGAAATCCTGTTGGTCTTTACGGTGCTACTGAACTCAAATCTTGCTCTTCTACTGCAGACCAACATGACTGCCCACCTGGAACTAAGATTCCTTTTGGTTTTCTGCATGTCATGGAAGGAATGCCTGCCTCCATCTGTCTTGAGTGAAAGGGGGTGATTTCCCACAAGCGCTGCTCCGCGCTCACTCCTCCCTTTTGCCCCATGGTACATGTCAATTTCACACAAGCTGCTGCGCGGCTGCATTTTGCCCCGCAGCTTCGTGCGATTTCCCCCACGTCTACTCAATCCTCAAAAACAGGATTGAGCCGATTTGGAAAAGTACAAGATGGCTGAAAGCGGTGGCATTAAAAGAAAATGTTTTAAAATTGGTGCATCGGTGGCATATGGCGCCGGAGAGACTAGCACGAATTTACCCAGGATTAAATAGTGTGTGCTGGAAATGTAAGGTCGAGGTGGGCACATATCATGTCTGGTAGACGTGTAGTGAAGTAAAATAGTACTGGAAGGAGGTTCAAATGATGTTAACACAAATAACTAACTTACAAATCCCGCTAGACCCAGAAATATTTCTTTTGAATATTTTCCCTGACAAGTGGAAAAAAGTTGAAATGTATGTAGTATTACATTTAGTAACGGCAGCAAGAATAGTGCTTGCAAAATTCTGGAAAAATGAACAGGTACCGAACAGATGGGACTTTATTAGTAAAGTGACTGAAGTGGTGGAAATGGATAATCTAACACAAAAGTTGCATGGAAATATGAATTCAACATTTCAAACAGTCTGGTCACAAGTTTATAAATGGCTGGAGCACAAGGCAACCTTATAATTTAGTTCTGAAAATGGTAACCCCAGGAAAAGAAAGGATGGAGTAGCATCTGTTTTTTGTGTTATATGTCTGATGAGAATTTTGTGTTTTGTTGGCTGTGTTTTGTTGGACAGGCCAACGGTGAATGTATGTGTATATGAATGATACCAATAATAACAATAAAAACAATATTAAAAAAAACAAAACAGGATTGAGTAGACACGGGGGAAATCGCACGAAGCTGCTGGGCAATATGTGGGCGTGCAGCAGCTTGTGTGAAACTGACACGTACCATTCGGGCCAAAGAGAAGAGTGAGCGCAGAGCAGCACTTGTGGGAAATCACCCAGGAATGTCACTGAGGCTTTGTTTGATAAGGAAGTTCTGACTGATGGTTTCCAGGGTCTTCACCCCGTCTCTGGATATGCTTCCGTTCCTTGAGCATACTTACTTTCCTTGGATATTTGTATGGAGCGGTAACCTTCTTGACATGTTCTTGAAGCTCGCGAGTTAATTTTTCCTTATCTTGGGATGTATAGTTCAAGGACAAGACGATAAAAGCCTTCACTACCTGCAAGGCAAATTTGACACAAGCACCAATGCTCAGATATGAAGGTTGTTGTAACCTTAGTTTCCTGCTTAGGCCCTGATACATTCCTGAAACTTTCTAGAAGTCTTTAAAATGAAATTGCCAGAATTTGTCTCTGTAAGACGCCATTCAGGGCAGGGGATTTAACTCCTGATGTTTTTAATAATCCATCTGCCACTGGAATGACCACTTTCCATTCCATTCTGGGCCACCACACAAGTTCTTTGTCCTTACTGTTGTTGCACTATCAGCGCAGACTACATGAAGACACTCCCTGTCCTGGCTTACAATGTAAAATTTGATGTACTGTTGCTGGGGATCCAGACACCTTCCTTTTGAGTGCAAGAATACCGCCATATCCTAGCACTGAAATTTCAAAAGCCATTGCAGCCAAAATGTGATTTCCTAACCTCCATCCATCCATTAGCAGGCCAGTTTCAACAGCCCGCATTGTGTGATTTCATTGCATCGTTGTGTAACTCTGAATGAGTGATGAATGACAGACGATCCATAGGCGGCATTTTGTTCTGTGGGTGAAGGTAAATGTGACACAACGGCCTGCCCTGAATGCTGTTTGCCCTGGTTCAGAGACAGCGGGGAAGTGTTTGCTGCAAGAGACTGCCCTGACTGCAGCCCTCTCAAAGTCTGCCATAGAATTCATTGGGAGCCACTGAATTCTGCAGGAAGACATTGGAAATTCAGGGTAACTGAAAGTGAGAGAGTACCAATTACCTGAGTACTTCTCTAATCTGAAGGATTATCCCCTTTATGTCCCTTCTAGTAATTTCTTCTAGTGCAATTAGGGGCCTCCCGGAGCGTCCCATTGGCGGTATGGATTTCCCCTTTGCAGTCTTTTTTTTTTTTTTTTGGGCAGGGATCGCCAATAGACTCTGTTTTGAGGGTCCTCAAATATTACAGTATTGGTCTGTGTTCACAGACTTGACTGTGTTCCTGATGCGTCTGGTGGATTTTTTGATGTTAATAGATGTTGGGTTTTTTAGACCTCCTTGAGTTTCCTCTGAAAAAGGTGGTTTTGTACATATTTTAGGGCTTCAGTAAATCAACTAATGTTATAGAACAACAGTCCCTCCCAGGTTCACCACATGGGCCATGGGCACCAGTCAGGTGTGTATCCGACAGGGCTCTTTTTGTAGCAGGAACTCCTTTGCATATTAGGCCACCCCCCTAATGTAGCCAATCCTCCAAGAGCTTACAGAGCTCTTCTTACAGGAGCTACTGTAAGCTCTTGGAGGATTGGCTGCATTAGGGGTGTGTTACTTAATATGCAAATGAGTACCTGCTACAAAAACTATCCGATATACCTCCAACCTTGGCATTTCAGAGACTCATCTCTCCATCAGTGAGTATGTTTTGGACCAAAGTCTAATTTGCACCATGGGTTCCCAAACATTTAAGCAGGAGGACTGAGCGGAGAGCAAGAGATGCCACCGTGCACTCTTCCTTACCTCTCCCCTGAACGGGTCCGGGCTGCTGACGGCAGCGGCTTCTGCCACTGCTGGGTGCTCTAATAGAGCACTTTCCACTTCAAATGGTCCGATGCGATACCTGAGAAAGGAGAGGAAACACAAATCAACTCGGGGGGGGGAGTGATTTATCTAGAGAGAGGTGAAAAGGGAAGAATGTATCGGCTGCATTTGTTATAACTTGGGATGCGTTAGGGGTCTTACAGAATTAAGTTATGTCCGAAAGGAATCATGGCTAAATTGTGCAGACCAGTGTGGTGCTAAACAATCTTTGGATTCGCTGGACTGGAGGCTCCTGGGTCGGCCTCCATGGTTTCTGCTGTTTGCAGTGACCTTTTCCTACCACGAGTTCCCCCTCTCCTTCACAGGGAATGTTTTACAGCAAGGGGGGGGGTGTCATCAGGTGAGGTGGCAGTCCCAAGGGGAAGCTTCGAGGCACTTGGTATTCCTTGGGGAAAGCTTGGGAAGACCCAAGATTTTCCTGAGAAAGTTTTTCAGGGAAAATAAGTAATTATGAGATGAGCCAGTTGGGAGCCAATCTATTTGTAATTACAACATTTTTTTTTTAATTCAAGGAAATGTCCATTCTTTTCCTGCTAAAATCAAAAAGCAATGATTTGTCATTCACCCCCGTCCACCCCCCACCCCCAGTCCATGAGATAGCCAGGCAATCCGGAATGGGGAGTGATTTCAGTTCACCATCTGGAGTTTTAACTTGATTTAGTGGTGCTGTTGTATTTTAATTGTAGAGTTTTTATGTTTTTGTTTACTGCTGTACATCACCCAGAGCCCTGCGGCAGCAGGGATGGGCAATGCAAAATAAATAAATAACCCATTCCAGTGTGTAGTGGCGAGAGTGTCAGATGAGGATACACAGGTCTGAGGTTAGAATCCCCACTCTACCATGGAAGCTTGCTGGGTGACCCTGCATCTGTCATGCGCCATCAGCTTAACCTCCCTCGCAGGGTTGTTGTGAGGGTAAAATGGAAGAGAGAACAATGTAAGCTGCTTTGGGTCCCCTTTGGGGAGAAAGGCCAGGGTATACATAAAGTAAATAAGACATAATAATCTCAGCCATTCCAGTTATCAAGGAAATAGCTGCGGCTAATATATGATAATTATAGTATGCATGCAGTTTTTAAAATAATGAAGTATGGCTTGTTTTAAATTGGTTTCGTTATCTTGATGCTTGTTCGGGGCTGTACTATCGGTGTGGTACTTTAGGACATCCTGTTTCATTGTAAACCTGCCTCAATTCACTCTAGGTGAGGAAAACGGGTATGAAAACGTTTTAAAACCTAAAACAAAATATGAAGATGTTACTTTGTTTATGCAAACCCCCCAAAGGAAACCCACCCTCCTAAATGAATAAAACAAACCCTGCAGAATTCATGATATCGTCATCTCTTCCAACAAACCAAATGTATCCATCCTCGTCCTTCCTTCCTCGGTCCCCTGTAATGTAAAAAGAACCCCGTTCCGTTGCAGCCGTTTTCTCCGGGTTATCCTAATGGAACATTTCAGGAAGAGGAGAATTAACCATGGATGCGTTTGAATGACCAGCTCAGTCGCAGCCTACGTAAAATTGGAGCGGCCCAGCCCATTGCAGCCTCTAATCAGCTGCTGTGTGGGGCCAAACCAGACATTACGATGTCCACAGGTCTGGCGCCATTTTAGAGAAGAATTTGGTGGTTTAAAAATGCCACAAGCCTGCAGCGCAATGGGACCAGGAGATCTTGCGGTCCCAGCCCCCACCCCACTCCCCAAGCCTTTTCAAGTTCCAAAAGAGCCTCAAGGCATTTTTAAATGTCCGAGTAGTTCTCTAAAATGGTGTCAGGCATGCACAGCTCAGACCGGTGGAGAAAAGGACAGAGAAGCTAAATTCGAGCTATCTTTAAAACAAATCAAGAAATCATCTTCATTTGAAAAAGAAATCAATTTTTTTTAATGACAGCAAATTTACCCGTTTTGGGATTTTTAAATCATATTTTACTTAGGGAGTGGAGCGATGTTACGGCCTTAGTGTTATCTGTAGTAACAACTGGACCCATCTGAGGTCCCTGGAGGTGACACGCGTATTGGTCTCACTTGTGCGCCAGGCAGTAACCAATAAACACACGCTAAAAAATGTACAGGTCTTCCCAGATCTCATCAGATCTGGGAAGCTAAGCAGGGCCTGCCTGGCTAGTATTTGGATGGGAGACCTCCAAGGAATCCCAGGGTTGCGACACGGAGGCAGGCAGTGGGAAACCACCTACGGGATTGCCGTAGGACAGCTGTGACTTGACAGCACTTCCCACCCCACCAAGCAGGGTCAGTTAGGATAGGAAACCACCAAGGATTTCCCTGGTTGCTAGGCAGAGGAAGGCCTTTGTTAAGTCTCTCTTGCCTTCAAACCCCTACCGAGTTGCCATACGTCGACTGCAGCTTGATGGCACTTTCACACACACACGTACACACACGCACACTGCTGTTCTCCAGTGCATAGCTGGATTTC